CCCATTCTGTGGGCTGTCTATTCACTCTAATGATAGTTTCCTTGGCAGTGCAGAAGCTTTTTAATTTGATTAGATCCCACTTATTTATTTTTGTTGCTGCAGCGATTGCTTTGGGGGTCTTCTTCAAGAATTCCTTACCTAGGCCGATGTCTGAAAGGGTCTTCCCATAGCTCCCTGTTCTTGTTTCATGGATACGTTATCTTCTATTAGTCTTTTTTTTTTCCCCCTCTTCATGCATGGCCTCAGTTCCTCTGTCGTGCTGTTGTTGTTTTTACTCTAGTAAAGACTTTTCTAAAGTGTCATTATTTTTGATTATCTACTAATGCTTAAAGTAGTAAACTAAAAAGGTGAATTGGAAACTCAGGGCATGTGTGCAGATTTAAGCTTCACATAGGGTAATTCAGGGTTCCAGGAAAGAGTGTGTGTTTGGGAGCTGATCTGTAGGTGTTAGAAGTGTTTACTACTAGTATGATCAGTTTTGAAATTTCTCGCCTGGGAGTTATGCCCTGATTTTCAGTGTTCTAGGAGCCAAGCAGGGAAAAGAAGGCCAGGGATCTTAGCATTTCCTATTTAGATGTACAGTCACTTAATTCCCCTCTTTGTGAAATGGTACTCACCCTGGGCTCTCTGTCTTTTACTGTCTCCATAAAACCATCTCCCAGAGAATTAACATCCAAGAATAAACTTCCACTTTATGCTGGGATGGATAAGACCATCACCCAGTATATCGTGCATCTTAAAGAACTTTCCTGTATTTGCCTTTTTATCCACTCCCTTTTCTACCCTGATTGCATAGTTATCTGTTACTGCCATTTCTGTAGCCTTTTAAGGAGTTTCCTTTATAATTTGAGAATTTTAATGAGTACATTTTTCTTATGAATTTTGAAGGCATTGCTCTACTGTCGTTTTGCTTCTAGCGTTGACATTGAAAAGTCCAAAATTAATCTAATCCTTTGGATTTGCATAATTTGGCTTGGTTCTCAACCTTCCTCACTGCTAGGTTCTTTCCTGGATTTGTCAGTTCCCACTCTTCCCTTCTCTTCTTCCTCCTCCTTGTAGTTTTGAAAGACAGCAAAATTAGATGAATACAGTCTGCCATTTTCCCAGGAGCTTTTAAAAAATACTTAGGTCAGCCCATTCTCAACGGTCTTCTTCTTTGACCTGCCAGCAGCATTTGAAATACTTGATAATCTCCTCTTTTTGTGACTATTTTCTTCATTTGGCTTTAGAAATACCACTTAACTGACAGCTCTTTCTTAATCTCCTTTGCTGGTTTCACCACATTTTCTTACCTCTAAATGGAAGACTTTAAGGGCTTAGTCTTCAGACTTATTCTCTATTTACATTTACTTTCTAGGTGTTCTCATTTGCTCTTATGGCTTTAACTACTGTTTGTATGCTGACATTTCTCACATTTATACTTTATAGACCCTTATCCTAAATTCCTGATTCATATATTCTGCCTTCTTGATATTACGTTGGTATGTCCCATAACATCTCAAACATAACATACCCCAAACTGAATCCTAACTTTCTTCCTCTAATACTGCTTCTCTCACATCTTCCCCTCCAGCTGGTCAAGCCAAAAATGTTCACTCCTCCTTGACTCTTCCCTTTCTCCTTCATTCCACTGCAATCCATCAGCAAACCTTGTCTGGACCAACAAACGGAATCTGACCTGACCACTTCTTACCACTTCCACAATTACCACCTTGAACAAAGCCACCATCACATCTTGCCTAGACTGTTGTAGAAGATTCCTAACTAGTCTCTCTGTTTCTGCCATTAGCTTCCCCACCCCAAGTATATTCTCAACATTACCATGCTGAAAATAACTAGAGACATCTTTTTAACATGCAATCAGAAAAACATAACTTCTCCACTTAAATCTTCCAATGGCTCCCAAAGCTAAGATCCTTAAATAAGCTTCCCACGCCCTACATGATCTGAATTTTCCAGTACTTGTCCAATTTCATTCCTACCTTTCTCCTTCTTGCTCATTCCAACCATATTGGCCTCCTTATGTTTCATCAACATATCAAGCAGCTCCCATATCAGAGACTTTGCTTTTGCTGTTAAGTCCTCTTTTACTTTAGGTTTCTTTTGGATGTTGCCTTATAAAGAGAGTTTCACTGACCACTGATATAAAAAAATAACTCCTCTTCTTACTCTTGTCCAAGTACCCCCTTCTCTGCTTCTTTGTTCTCTGTAGCAGTTATTCTCCATCCGATATAATATTTGCTGTCCCTCTTCTTCCATTTGAATGTGCGTTCCATGTTTTTCTTCTTTGCTATTTCTGTGGTGCTATTTCTGCATTTGGTAGAAGTAGAACTCGATAAATATTTGTTAAATAAACAAATGAGTTAATTAATGATAGTCACTACTGGGTTAGAGCAGAATAACAATAACAGTAACCACCATCACTTATTTAGCACTTACTCCATTTAATCAACACAACAACCCTGTGAGGTAAGTACTATTATTACCCCCAGTTTATGAATGAGGAAACTCAAGCACAGGGAGGTTAAGTGATTTACCCAACGTTACATAGGTAGGACGTAGCTGAGATGGGATTTGAACCCAGGTAGTCTGGCTCCAAAGACTGTGCTCCTAATGACTAAGCTATATTGACCCTTTGTTAGGAGTCACAGCCAGACTTCATAGGAGTTGTGGATATCGGGGGCACCATGGTAGGTCCACATTAGCCATGGACAGTCAGTGGGTTTGACAAAACCAAGTGAGGAACAAAACTAGAAATTATGCTAGCCCAGATTTCAACTACAAATGCAGAGCAAACAACAGTAACCAGGGACATTGCCCCAGACATATGTGAAGCAAATAGGCACCATTCTTAAGAGCTCCATCTCTCTTGTGCTGTGAGACTGTATTAACTCCTCTATTTCCTACATATCCAGATGCCCAAATATGGAGAGAAACCAGGAATAGGAAAGAGGCTTAAATATGAGAAATACAAGAGACTAAGAATTAGAGATGAAGCATTAGTTATAGACTATTTTAATGTTCAGAATTTACCAATATCTCATTCTTCTATCCTTTCTGGACATATAGAAGACTATCTTCAGCTCTCTTGCAGTTAGAATGGGACTGTGTGACAGTTCTGGCCAATGGGCCATCTGAAGCAAAATTTTCCATGATCTGTTCCCTAGCAAGAGTATCTGAAGAGGCCAATAGAGGTGACTTTACCATGACAGAGCCTTAGTATCCTGAGCCACTGAATGGGACAGAGTAACTTCCTGTCCCCTTTAGCCAACTTATGTGGGATATATCATGAGAGAAAAATAAACTTGTTTAGGGGGCCATTGAGATTTTTGGGGATTATTACTAAAGCATAAGGAGGTAGCCTGTATACAAAAATCAATCCCAGATGGATTAAAGATCTAAAAGTGTGAAAGGTAAAACAAAGATCTTAAAGAAAACACAGGAAATCTCTTCATGATTTTGGAGTTTGGCAAGCTTTTTCAAACACAAAATATAATGAAACATAATTCAATGGATAATTATCAAGAAGAATGTTTATAAAGCTTCACAATATTATTGTGAGACCAAATAGAAAGAATCTTCTTCACTGGACTTTCTTTGATTTAACACAAAGAAAACAACAGAAACCTTGAGTTTTTGATTAGAATTGTTTAATTATAGATAATTGAGGAATATATTGCATATAATTTTGTTGTCACGGCTTACTGAATGGTGCCATACTTTATGATTTTTTTATATTTTTCAAATTTTTTCTCTCTGTCTTAACTTAGGCTTTTTCTACTTGTTATTTCTTATAATAGCCCTTTCTGCTGTGTTCAGAAAAATCAAGTTTGTAAGCTTTTTACTCTTATTAAGAAATAAGTTCTGCATGAATAAAGTACATAAGATCTAGTTTATTGGGTGGACTTTATGATATCTGTTTTGGCTATTTGCAGTCTTTCCTTGTTTTCTATTTTTCAACCATGTTTAGTTTAAGTGGCTAGATAAATGATCATTAGAAAAAATAAGTTATTGCTGTATATTATGCTCATATTATTTTAATTATAGATTTTATTTGTTGCTTGTTAAAATACAATAGCTACAGAATTTCCAAATCACGTATGATATCATCTAAGGATAATATAATCTTGCATCAAATGTCACTGACCCATATACTAAAAACCAGTGAATTATAAACTTTAAAATGGTTAAAATGGTGAATTTTATGTTATATAAATTTATTTATATCAACAACAAAGTCACTGACCCTATGTTTAATACAAGTAATTTTTCAAATAAATTGAAAAATAAAAAAGAATCTAAGGAGAAAAAGCAATATTTTAAAGGTAAATTTTGCTTTCACATAGGATGGAGGAGTATGCAGCATACTCGTACTCCCTTTGAGAACAAAGAGGAATTTGTATTTTAAAACATTTTAGAGAGACGGCTGCCGCCCAGCAGTAGACGCTGTCTCAGCCAGGCTAGCCGCAGTTCCTGTGGTGTGTGAGTGAGCCCGGGCCTGGTCCCTTCTCACGCCGCCGCCATAGGCTGCACGTTGAGCGCCGAAGACAAGGCGGCGGTGGAGCGGAGCAAGATGATCGACCGCAATTTGCGGGAGGACGGGGAGAAAGCGGCCAAAGAAGTGAAGCTGCTGCTTCTCGGTGCTGCAGAATCTGGTAAAAGCACCATTGTGAAACAAATGAAAATCATTCATGAGGATGGCTAGTCAGAGGAAGAATGTAAACAATATAAAGTAGTTGTCTACAGCAATACTATACAGTCCATCATTGCAATCATAAGAGCCATGGGCCGGCTAAAGATTGACTTTGGGGAAGCTGCCAGAGCAGATGATGCCCGGCAATTATTTGTTTTAGCTGGCAGTGCTGAAGAAGGAATCATGACTCCAGAACTAGCGGGAGTGATTAAACGGTTATGGCGAGATGGTGGGGTGCAAGCTTGCTTCAGCAGATCCAGGGAATATCAACTCAATGATTCTGCTTGATATTACCTAAATGATTTGGACAGAATATCCCAAACCGACTACATTCCAACTCAGCAAGATGTTCTTCGGACAAGAGTGAAGACCACCGGCATTGTGGAAACACATTTTACCTTCAAAGACCTATACTTCAAGATGTTTGATGTGGGTGGCCAAAGATTAGAACGAAAAAAGTGGATTCACTGTTTTGAGGGAGCGACAGCAATTATCTTCTGTGTGGCCCTCAGTGATTATGACCTTCTTCTGGCTGAGGATGAAGAGATGAACCGAATGCATGAAAGCATGAAACTCTTTGACAGCATTTGTAATAACAAATGGTTTACAGACACTTCAATCATTCTTTTCCTTAATAAGAAAG